TAAAGTTATAAACTTTATTATTATAAATTTTATTTATCTTATTTAAAATGTATAAAATTTGTAACATATTTCTAAAAATGTATAAACAGGTAATAGGCCCTCATATCTTATAATGTCTCTTAATATTCTATTATATTTATATACAGCAAAATGATCCGTAACAATATTTTTATTAATTTCACATGTATATATAAAATAAAAAGAATGTGTGATGGACGCGCAGGAAAAGAATAACTTTTCGCCTTTCATAAAATATGTGAAAATGTTCGCGATGTATGTACAAGTCGATCTTGTCCTGTAATATAAAGCCATCCCCAACGTCACGCCATTATCATTCTTATTCACATGTCGCTCGGCGTCAGAAAAGAGAGATCCCTCAACCTTTTACGAAACCTAACGATCGCGGTTGTTGCAGCCGTTTCGGACGCAGGTGACCGAGTCGGGAATTTTCTGACCGTGCGTAATCTCGCCGCTCGTAAACGTCCAGACTGATTTAACCGCTTTCGCCACGACGGCCGTTCATTTTCTCGCTAATTGCGCTCTAGGCTCGTCGATCTTTTCTTCTTTTTTTTTTTTCTCCATGCTCTCCCGCTCACTGTTCGCCGCGTGAGTTATTCCTTGGACTGGCGCGGCACGAGATATGCGGCGCCTTTCCGTATACTGTCGAGATCAAACCTGATCGACGAGACAATCCGCCGTTGGCATACACACTCACGACACACTTATTCTCGCCTAAGTATCGATATTCTTGATATGTGCCCGCGTAAAGAATTGCCTTCTCGCCGACGTTTTCGTCGTTTCGCTGATGCCTATTGTTTAAATCGCGACTTTCTAATTCCCCGAGTAAACGTGATTGACGTGAGTCGCCTAATCGTCAATTAGAATCGAACGCGAGTCCGAGTGTAGTTTGTGTCAACAAAAATCGGTCTAAGAAGTATGTATCGGCACATTCACGCCGAGTTCTAATGCATAGTAAAAACTGCCTTCCAGCTATCGGTTTACGACCAAGAGATCAACGCGATATGATAATATGTATCTTGATAATTTATTCACGAAAAAATGTATAACATCGCAGCATTCTCATTTTTCAAATCCTTGTATAGAATACGAAATGACTGGAATTATAATGGCAACGCGAGTTTATGTGTGAAATTATAAAAAAGGTAGAAAATTATAGCATGGGGATACATTTATGTATATAAAGAATGTGTTTCATATTTTTTTATTCGACGATGCGCGGACAAGCAAATAAAACGCGATGCAAAATCAGTGTTTGAAAAAGTTAACTGTGAATTGAGCCCTTCATGGGAATATTTTCGGGATTTAAACACGGGCTCGAGGAATAAAACGCAGGAAACGAGTTCCTAGTGCGAAGGTTGACCGTGTGTGGCCGGTTTTTGAATAAAATCAAATTGGATGAAATAGAGAACTGAAACCTATCCTCTTATATACGAATAATGACCGTCTCTCTGTCCGACGAAAATTATCATTACTAATTTCACCGTCGAATTCTGAATTCATGAACAGCTCTAGTCGGTCGTTCGTTCATTAATGTCTATTATACAAAATGTTTGGGATACATATAAATTTATTTCACTAACGAATGTCCATTGTTTGCGAATTTTTATTCACCTGCGTGATGTGACAATATATAGTTAATTTAATGTGTTAATCTAAATTTGAAATTGATTTTAACTTCGTTACATTTTTGTTTTCTTTTTTTAAATTTGATTATAAAAATTAGTTTTATTCCTATTATCTATATCACTATTATTCAAGTAAGGAGGAAATATTAAATAATGCGATATTATTTTATATATAAAAATTTTATCGAATTGTTTTTTTTTAAATATAATTATTTTGTGCAATGCATGTATATTTTTAATAAAATGGTAGCAGTAAAACAAAGCTTAGATTTTGCAAGATTTTTAAGAGGAAGTTTTATTGATGATATTGTATCTACTTTGCAATTATCTCTTCGTAAAATTGATATATTCATATTATATTTGTAATCATTATAATCCTATCAAAAGTACGCGACGAGAATTGAGATAATCCCGAAAGATTTTTGCGCGCAGTTGAAATGAAATTCTTCGATCGATGGATTGTTAAGAGATCAATGTTAGAAGATAAATATGATTGTTACAATCGATAAATTCTAGACTGCGGAGGTGCGTGCTTATTCTTTCGTTGCGATGTTAGTGCGTCACGATAGAGAGTTATTCTTATGGTGGCGTAAAAATAGCAGGGCGTCGTTAAATCGCGTAGGAAAATGCTAAATAGGTCTTTGAACCGGCGTCAGCGAGCGCTAGAGATCTGATAACGGCCGTTAATATTACAGCCGTGAAGTGGCCGCGCAAACGCGGGAAATCATTTTGTTGGCGCGTATATGTATAGTATTTCTTTTGCCTCAACCGTTCGCCGATATAATCCAAAGCTAAAGAAATTGCGTGGAGCGTTATCGGAAATCGATACGAGAAATATTAACGATCGTACGCCAAACACAGCGAGAGTAACGCAAATTAGTTTCTTTTACCATTTTATTTTACGGTAATGTGCGGTTAGAGATTTCACACACATATATATATATATATATACAACATTTTCGAGCATTTTCCTTGATTAATGATTAATAAATAAAAAAAATAAAACAAGTAAAATACTAAGCGCACTTTCGTCGCAACACGCGCATTTTCTAATATAAGACTTCCGATATTAATCGCACACATATACATGATATATTAACTTTGTGGGAAATATAGAGACCTTAAAGTTCCGCGGATGTCTGTCATTCCTTTTCCGCTACGAAAATTGACAGTTCCTCACCGATCTCTTGTCTTTTTGCGTTTATTCACGTGCTTCGAATGACATACAGCGTCGTAAAAGCGTTCTTCGGTCTCTTCCCGTGGACAATTATTTAATAACGGCCATATATATGTATATAATTAGTATCCAGCGTTCAGTGAGTTATACCGAATGATTTTACTTCATTAGATCCTACGCAGAGAATCGGCTGCTCGTAAAAATCACAGCGGCGCGCTTACCGTTAAGAGAATCGTTGCGCATTAAAATCCTTCTGATCCTTCTCGATCGACCTTTTGTTTGGTCGACGATGATGTTTTTATCGGGCAGTAAAACTTGTCCCGCGGATAGACTGAGAATAAGCATATCGTTTTACGGAATTTCCGATATCGCCGCGACAACTCTTCTTGCGCAATCATAGATACTTGAATTTTTTCCTCCCCCTTTTCACTTTTTGTACATATATATGTATATTAATGATTCGCTGCTAAATCGATTGATGCTCAATTTGTGAAATGTGAAATATAATAGGTGCTTTGCGGCCTAGATTATATTTCTTTTCACGAAGTGAACCGACTTTATAATGTCTTGATAGCCCGACGTACCAGCTTTCTTCTACCGAAGATATAAATTAACTGACAAAGAGTGCAGATCGTTGTTACAATAATTGTGGCAAGGCATGCACGTATTGCTTTCTACTTTATGATTTCTTCCTTAATTGGATAACGGAAGTTCTCTATACAAAACTTTCCTTGCTATTGTACATTTATTTGCTCCACAATTGCGATATAACGCAAGTCTTATTTACCAAGATAATTTTGAGATAGGTAATTTTTGAAAACAATTTATTATATTTATTTATTTATTTATGATTCTAATGTTATGATTTCGATATTGGAAGTTATATGTGAGCATAAATTTTCGCACAAGAATAAAATTATTTCGCAGAACATCGTGTATTATACATATAATGATTTATTAAAAACTTAATTTTCATTTATATGAATTTTTGAGATTCCTTTTTTTTTTTTGTTCTTGTGTGAACATATAAATTTTTATAAATGATGTAGAGTATATAACATCTATTGTTCTTCCAATGGTATAACTCGGTGAAACAATTTTTTATTCGCGAAAGAGTCCGAGTTTGTTGTGGCGGAAACTCGGGTCAGAAAGAAAGAATGGCACAGAGAGAGGCACGAGAGCACAAATGCAAAACGGACGACGAGCGTTTGAGATCAGGAAACCGTTTGCACGAAAGTACGAAGAGTGGTAGTCGGCCAATACGGGTCCGTTCATTGTCCGTCCTTTCGTCCGTCCTCGCGGTCTTTCACGATTATTTTTGCCGGTTCGCGGGCACAATGAGCGATTTCTAGCCAGTCCCATTGTTCCCTTTCGTAGCATGAGTTTTATACCAACTACGGTCGCTGAGTCTTAGGCGTCTTGGATGCGCGAGTTCACAAAAGGGAGAATCTATTTCCTTAACAACATTCGCGAAAACGCCATGTAACAATATAATTGTTACATGTAGGCTACATCCAAAGGGAGAGCTCGTTAATTGGAAGTAATTGCAGTTTCTTGGCGTGTAGTTTTTTTCTATTAATTCTCCGCGCGTTGAGTCGCGATATTTTTTCCAGATAGTTTACGCGAGAATTTCTTGCGAGAATTTCTTACGCGAATTTTTACAAAGCGAGCGTTTTTGCGAAGGCGGTTTAAATCGACGCTGATGGACATATACACGCGGACATATATTCTCAGTCAGATTCTCGGTATGGCTCGTTTACTTTTATTTTACGATTACTGACGAGACGTAAACGAGAAAAAACAGGAATATGTTTATGCATTCTCACTATTTCCAACCTTGCCTTTGTGCAAATTTCGTTATCTCTCCGCGCACGAATAATCTCGCGGCTCTGGATTTTATACCGTTTTTTTTGCCGGTTTGATAACTTGATCATTATCTATGCAACTACTCGCACTATATCATATTGCGGCTGGTGTCCTGGCCATCATATTTATAGCGATATCAGCATTTTCATTTTTAATAACGGTAAATAGAAAGCACATCCAACGTTTCAACTAGGTGTGAACGAGATCGCGCGAGCCACAATATCGATCGTTTTGTTTATATAGAGATCATTTTGTTTATACAGAAAATAAGAACGTGTAGTGTAAAACACCATACGATTAATCAAACGCACCGATGAGATGCCAATGAATGATCGATCGCGTGCTCAGGACCCTTGGACTGCTCATTTTCTTTAATCTTCGGATGACGACGTCGGTACAACGCGCATAATTGCTTTGATCGATGTAATTAGGAATGGTAATTGAGGATCTGGTTATAATTGCGGTCGAACCAATTTCTTTTTTTCATGATTCCTGTTCGTGATTGCGATCATCATCAATTCGACGTGATTCGTCGATCATTATAAAGCCGTACACACTCTGAATATTTTTGCAATAGTAATAATCTTCTTTCACATATTCACTGAATTTATTTGTGAATATTTTTTTATTAAAAGATTCTTTATTGTAATAATTTAAAAACGAAGAACTGCAGTAAATTTATATGTATATAATATGTATATAATGATATCTTAAAATTATCTCCTTGAAATTTGGAGCATTCTTGAAACAAAACTCTAAAACTGGCTATAAGCAGATTTGCTGGAATGGCTACATATATGTATAAAGCGAAATTAAAAACTCACTAGTACGATATGCGCAATACCGGAATTGTTAAACACATGTTGAGATCTGTAAAATACAAATACATACATCCAAATTATATCTACATGTGAAGCAACATTTAAAATAATTAATATTTTAAGAAATAATTATGTGTGATTGAATTTCTCATTCGTTCTTTGAACAAATATTTAACAAACTCATTTTAAAAAGAAACATTTTATTAGATATAAACTATTATGAAATAATATACATATAAAAGTCTCTAATTCTTATATAAATAATCTGACTAGTTACAAAGTCTTAAAAAATAATTAAAATATTTTATATATAGATTTTATATATGAAAATATAATTATTTTATATTTTATAATCATTATATTACAATGATGTAAAGAAAAAAGAAGTGTAAATTATTGCGGTGGAGATAAATTTTTTTTCCAGATATAATAAATAATAAGTTTAATAAACTATAAATTACTTACCCCACGGTTGCTCCGCTGTCGTCTCGCACCCCGGGCCTTATCCTCTGCTGCTTCTTTGTGACATTCGCGAAAACATAGTTAATTAGAGTGCGCGTACTAATTAACAGAAAATGACAATTGCACGATACTTTGCCCGGCTCTCCCGATATTAATTATACACAATTCTCACTATTGAGATAGGAAAACAATAAACGATTCGTTAATGAGCGCGAAACTATGATCCGCTCGACACTCAAAAATTGCGTGACTAAATTTACGCACAACAATGCTGTATAGCTGTTACCAATAAATAGTATATGCTCGTTTAAGATAAATATTCACGAAATGCTTTGATTGTATTAATGATATAAAATAAGCGTTTTAACAAATTATGAATGTAAAAATACATAGCCTGCATCGCTCTTTGAAAATATTTCCCCGATTTAAATATAATTTGCCAATGATTTTTAGATTCAAAGTGCGGAGTAATACGCGAATCGTAGGATCATGCGATTCAAGAACAAATTATAACACATAAATCACTTATAAACAATTATCTTGCAATTTAATGAATAAAATATCGCGCAGGTATTAATTTTGTAATACGTTAAATATTTCGCGGCGACAACTGATTAAGTATCACCCGATATTTAGCTTTCGACCTTGATGACGTATGTCGGTAGCGCGCTAGTTTACGCACGGTTTGTTTATTATCATTCGCACGGCGAGTCTCGAATGGAAAGGACGCGTCGTGATCCGCTTCGTGTGTCGTCGTTATCTTTCCAGAGACCCGATAATTTCCTACGATCATTTTCTACAGCGATTATTATTACAATTAATGATTAACAATTCGTAAGCGTATCAAAGCAACGATTAATTTGCACGACTTATTCATTTAAATACATAAATCGAAGCGATAGGAAATTGCTGTTATATAAATTACTGTTTTTATTACGATATTTATGGTCACTATCATTTTTTTAATGCTTAGAAAAATATATATCTCGCATCGCACTTTGTACAAATTTTTCCGATTTTCTTTGATTGAATAAAATCCACTCAATGTGTTGACTTTTTAATAATACACATTTATCACGCGCGCATTTATATGTTAAAACTATATCGCGCGTGGAATTCTGATTATATATTATCTGTCTTCTATTTTATATCATTAATTTGATTGAAATTTGTAGCGGATAATTTCGCGGATATTTTTAACTTTAATTTTGATTTGTACATATATATATATATATATATATTTATAATGCGTTATAAAATAGCAAAATAGCAAAATTTCTTTGAAATACGAACATATGCTATTTATTAGCAACAATGATAGCATTGCGCGAGTGGCGCATAAATTTAGTCGCGCAATTTTTGAGTGTCGAGCGGATCAGTTTCACGCTAGTTAACGAATCGTTAATTGTTTTCCTATCTCAATATAAGATGCGCATTGCGTACAATTAATATCAGGAGTGCCGAACGAAGTATTGCGAGATTGTCATTTTCTGTTAATTAGTACTCGCGCGATAATTAATTATTTTTTTGTGAATGAATGCCACAAAGGAGTAATAGAACTAGATGAATTAGAGAAGAAGAGGAGATTCGGGGAAGTATCCGGCGATAGCGGAGCAATCAAGAGGTAAATAATTTATTATTTATTTTCTGTAAATTAATTTATTGCGGTAATAAAAAACACTTTATATTATTATAATGTAATGTTTGTAAAATATTCTCTATATTTAAAAACAAAAATTAAACTAAAATAATTTTTATTAAATATCTCTTTAAATGACGAATGAGAAATTTAATTGCGCGTACACAATAATTATTCCTTAAAATATTATATATTTTTAACATTTTTTAAAAATATATATTTCATTTGGATATACGTATTTGTATTTTATAGATCAAGATAAGATGTGTGTGTGCGTATGTATATTACAATTCCGCTGTCGCGCACCGTACCGGTGAGTACTGAACAAATATTTTAAAGTTTAAACAATGTATGCGTATATGTATATATGGCTGAAAAATTCTGCGTTGTCCAAAAAATTTAAGTATTCCGACATTCTTTTGTATCAAAAAGTTTAAGTATTATGGCACTTTTTATCGCATATCTTTATTGTAGAGAAAAAGTAATTTACTAAAAATTAGGAAGACTATATAAGATTAGCTTGTGGAATTATATGGATCACTGAAAAGAAGAGACGTAGATCGATAAACGTTTCTCGTGCGTATGTAATTTTAAAGCCTTGTTCTCGTTTTCTCATTTCGCGATACGATGATCTATATGGCTGATCGCCAGGTGTAGGAGTGACTGAAAGATATCCAATTCGATAAGACACCTGATCGTCGGAAAATGCTATGACGAGGCTATCGATGAAGGGAGTCTACCGGCTGACGATAGATAACATGAATTGCTAAGAGCTTCCGCTACATGTACATGTACATAAAAATGAATATGCATATTTGATCGACGGCCGATTATATCTACCTCGACTCTGCCACATCCGATTATTTTTGCCGATGAAATTTTTGTCAAAATCGATTTGATTTAATAACTGATATTTGTTCGTTGCTTTTTCTCGGTGATAAAGTTGATAATAAAACGTCAATTTCGTGGAGAAAAAAAATAATCATAGGTATTTGAATTTTTTTGTCAAAATTGTGAAAAATATCATTTGAGAAAATTATTCAGAATATCATCTTTTTAATAATTATAACTAAACTTATATTTAGATTACATGTACTCCGGGATTATTAATAAAAAATATTTTGTTCGATCAAATATTCATTCAGATTAATCTTTCATTTCTATCGCAAAGCTGATCAGGCATGACATATTTGGGACAGAGTTAACATGCGATCACCTGCATGGAGCATTTATCGCGTCATTAAGTGCTATTAGATGCGTTATAATTTTTTTTTTTTCGTGCATCCCTAATTAATCATCATGATAATAACTGTTTTTTGCCAATTGTTAGATTCGTTTTTTTTGAATATGATAACTACTTAGCACATAATTTCCAATTTTTACCGTAATTACCCCATGCTTCCACATTTTTCGACATATTTCATCTTTTATCAGAGCAATCTTTCATTATTTTGTTGATTATATAAATATCTTGGTATTATATGCATTTACATACAAATATTATTTAAGTGCCATCTTAATCACATACGCCTCCCTACATATACATATACACATTCTCTCTTTTTTTCCATGTAAAGGAATATTTATTTTACAATTAGTATATGTTTATAATTATACATATACCTTTTTTGCAATAGTAACTAATAAAATATTTACAAAATATGCAAGGAGAAGTATTGTTAGTTTAACTAGTGTTTTGTAGCAATGATTAGTTTTCTTTTTTTAAATTTAAATAACAATTAATTTATATTATTAAAATCAGTTTTAAGTCCGAAAAAGTTTAACAATTAGATATTATATTCGCATTTAATTATTACTTGATATTAAGGATATTTAGTCAAATGCTTTTTGATTAAATAAATTCATGTTACATTCTGCTTAAATAATTGCGGAGAAAAATGTGGTCGTAACAAATGACGGCCAAGCATGAACGCGAGAAATTCAGCGAGATAAGTAGTAGTCCTTTATAAAAGAGAAGAATGTTGCACGCCAACCGCGATAACGATAACGATGGACACAATCGCGGACAAAGAGAGAGGAGAGAAAGAGTTTTGCTGCTTGTAAGCATAATTAACGGGTTTTCGATTGGAGCTAAGTTCCTTGATAACCGCAATCGAATTGCCATTGTATACTATAAGTAGCGATACGATAAAATGTGATTCTAATGCAATTCTTTTTCTTACGTAAGATCAGAAGGGATATTTTAATATATATATCTGTATTTCCTTGTGTCTAAAATTTTATTAAATTAATTTAATATTATTAAATTGAAATTAATTATTACACAAATTATTTATCATTATTAATATTATCTCGATTGTGAACAAATAACGTTGTTAGTTGATGAAGTTATTTTAGTTTAGGCTGTGTATATACTGTGATATATATATTGTTACATCCGCGGATTTCGATATATCTCGAAGTGGCTCGCGGCACGATTCCAATTTACTCACTCACACATGAGAAATAAGAAGGCACTTTTATAAAGAACTTTGATAACTTTAATATTATAGACGATGACACAGAATACAAATAAATAATAATAATAATAACCGTCGTAACGAATACGTCTGCACGGTATGTCAACCGTCGCGTGACTAAAATGGCGCCTCTCCAACAAGATGTTCGCCATTGTTTTACCAACAACCCCGTGACAACGAGACTTAATTTCCTTAATTTCAATGCCGACGCGATGAATGATCGCGAAGACCACAGGGACGTAACACTATGTATTTTTTTACTTCGTCGGTGCTCGATATTTTTGGAATGCGAAGTCGTGTA